GATGGCCTCGGGCTGCAGAGAGACGCGGCTCAGAGCAGAGCTGGGCACCGCAGGCCCGGCTGAGGGGGTCTCCGAGCGTGAGCACCCAGTGGGAGACGGGCCCGGGCGCCGGCGAGGGAGGCGCCAGGAGGCCCGGAGAACAGGGCACGTACTGGCCCCCTCGGAGCCGTACCAGTAAGTCGCTGGAGCCCGCGTGCATGTACTTGTCCATGAAGTCCAGGATGGTCAGCCACAGAGCGGCGAAGGTCGTCAAGGAGAGCAGCGGGGAGAGGTGCTGCAGGAACACCTGGGGGAGCGAGCAGGACGTCAGAGCATGACCAGCTACCGTCACGCCCATGCTACTGGCTGGGGTTGGCCCCCTCGGAGCCGTACCAGTAAGTCGCTGGAGCCCGCGTGCATGTACTTGTCCATGAAGTCCAGGATGGTCAGCCACAGAGCGGCGAAGGTCGTCAAGGAGAGCAGCGGGGAGAGGTGCTGCAGGAACACCTGGGGGAGCGAGCAGGACGTCAGAGCATGACCAGCTACCGTCACGCCCATGCTACTGGCTGGGGTTAGCGGTTACCCTCTGCCCGCCTGGGGAGTCGGCTGCCCCCTGCTGCCAGCTCTGGCCTGGCACGCGCTGGGTTCCACGCTGAGCGGTTCCCCTCTGCCCGCCTGGGGAGTCGGCTGCCCCCTGCTGCCAGCTCTGGCCTGGCACGCGCTGGGTTCCACGCCCGCTGCGAAGCCGCCCCGAGAGCGGGCCCAGCAGCCCCTTCCTGCCTGGCTCCGGGGGAGGCGGCGCTGCTGCCAGCTCTGCAGTACGAAGCTAGTGAAGTCTGAGCAGCTAGGTACCTTTCTAACACCCCTAGCGGGGGCAGCACCACGCCACTGGGCTGTGCCCGCAGCTCTGGGCCAAGCCCTCCAGCCCAGGGGCTCCTGCTTCCTAGTACAGGCCCGAGTCCGCACACGGGCCAACCCAGGGCTGGGAGCGCTCCGGAGCCGTGTGCCGGACCCGGCCTCCCTTCTGCAGCTCAGCTCGGACCCCCGGCCTCGCCCTCGCCACCCACAGCCCGGGGGCAGGGCCAAACGCTGAGCCCAGCGTTCTCATGATGGCTCTGGAGGCAGACAGCAGTGCGAGGTGCCTGCGTGCTGGGCGAGGGGGCTGGTGCGGGGCAGAACACGCTGGGGGTCACCCTCAGCGCAGAGCCCAAGCCTGAGCCCGACATGACGCAGAGCGCTGGCTGTGGCTCGGGGAGCCGCGCGGCGGAACA